ACAACCCTGCTTGCTGAAACTGAAGAGGACCTGAAGCACCTGCTGCAGAGGGTCAAGGACTGCAGCCTACAATATGGATTGAGGCTCAATGTTAATTGAGTAGTTTTACAAATAAAGTTTTATTAAAACATATTCAGTTACTATCTATGGCTGTTTTTACATTACACCGCTAAGAACTGAACTCATGAATATCTATGTCAGAGACTAGCTGGCCTAAAAAAATTAAAAAAAAAAATTTACTATATTGTGCTATTGACAAAATGTTTTCAACTCCTGCTTCACACCTTGTGGTAGACTATATACCGGAACACTATCTTTAAGTAAAATCCATATATAGATGCTAAACAACAGCCAATAAAAAGTGTAATACATCTGAAAACTATAGTTTTGTTAGAACACCTAGAAAAATTCTGGAGAAATAATTTTGGGTAACTAAGTTTCTAGAAATAAGATGAAAAATAAAAATCTGTTGTTGTTAGGTGCCACCTAGTTGTGACTTGTAGAGATCCTAGGAATAACAGATCAGAACCATACCATATCTATGCCATCCTTAGTATTTCTGACACTCTGGAACCCACTGCTGCAGTCACCATGTCAATCCATGTGAGCCATTTACTTGAAATAAACATATGTGTCTCTTTTATTTTTTGCTTCTATACAGATACTAGTATGTATTTTCATGTATGTAGTTTTACTGGTTTGCTTCTCTGGAAAAACTAGACTAAAACAAAAAAGGAGGATATAATGTGACCTGTCATTTGATTTTGTTGACTGCTGCTTCCACAGGTGTTAATTATGGACCCAAGTAAAGAGAAATTCTTAACAACGTCAATCTTGTTCAATTTATCATCCAAACTGTGAAAAATATCTATGTTGTAGGCAAACTATACTGAAGGCCAGTCTTTGTTCTTTATCAGTAAGTGCTTCAAGTCCTCATCTATTCCAACAAGCAAGGTATATCATCCACATATACCAGGTTTTTAAAGTATCCTTTCAGTAGTCTTACTATGTTCTCCTTCATAGTCTATATTATTTTTCTCAGCAAATAATATGGTGAAAAGACACACAAATAATTTAAGAAGAGCAATAAAGCCTCTTTCTGAAATATTTCTAGTAACCTAAAATAATATTTACAAATACATACCTTTGTCGGTCCTCATCGTCACTGCTTTCATATTCTGACTCTTGACTTGATAATTCCTCATCCTCATCTGGCAGAGGAGGCTCCTCAGGTGGTTGAGGAGATGTTGGTGGAAGAGGTGCATGCAATGGCATATAATCTTCATACTAAATAGGAGAATAAAATAACACTGACCATCTATGATTTCTATAAAAGTCAAGCTATTTCTATTCAGACACTTGATTTTATTTCTCTAACTCATGGTATTCTTTTATGTCTTTAAAGAACACCTGCTAAGATTGTCACATGATTATAAAACATATTTTAATGTTCCTTGGCATAAAACGAACTAAATTTTCAAAACCCCCTTGTGGTTAGTTCTGGCAGTGTAATAATTCCAGCCATGGAATATGAATATTAAAAATACACATCATCTTCCTTCCTGGCTTGCAAAGTGTATGTTAAAATATTGATGAACATGGGGAACTCTGGTGGCCTAGCGGCAAGAAGCTGAGCTGCAATCTCAAAGACACGCAGTTCTTCAAATCTACCCGATGCTCTGTTGAAAGAGTGGCAATCTCCTCCATACCAGTCAGATCTGATACGACGGCAAGCACACGCGTGCACGCGCACACACAGACACACACACACACAGACACACACAAATAAATAACTGATAAACATGAGAGACACGAAGACAATATCCTACCCTTCTTGAATGAACCTGACATAAGAATAACTTACTCTGAGTTAAACATAAAAAACCTTCAAACTTACTGCCACTGAGTTAACGCCAACTCACAATGCCCTTTCATCAGATTTCTGAGGCTGAAAATCTTACAAGAGGAGACTACCTCATGGAGCTCCTGAAGGACTCAAACTGCTAGAGCCTTTTGGTTATCTGCAATATGCTACAGACTATGTCACCAGATCAGCAATTCATTAAGCAACAAAGCTGAGCTGCTTCAGCTGTAAGTATAGCCTTAATTACATCTCTGCAACATTTCAGGCATCACAGTTCAGTTCTGAAATTATAAAGAAGAACTGTACAATAAGATCTGTTAGAAAAGCAGTTAAACTCTCAGCAGTACAACACATCATGTACTTCACCATTAGAGTGTAAAGAAACAAGTAAACTAATAAACAAATTTTGTTTGTATTGATTATTATAGCAAATCTATGAATAAGACTAGTCTAGAATCTTGCCCCAATCTGTACTATCCTCATGATCTCTGGCATTCTCAAGCCCACTGTTACAGTTACTCTATGAACCCATCTCATTGAGGGTTTTCTTCTCTTTGGCTGATGCTCTATCTTTCCAAGCTCGAGGTCTTTTTCCAGGGACTGGCCCCTCTTAGTAACATGTCAAATGTGTAAGATAAAGTTTTAAAATCTTTGCATATAAGAACAACCCTGGTGGAACTTCTAAATACAAAGGCTTTTTTTCTTTTGACAGTCCAGTACTCTTTTCTAACATGATTCATAGACATTGATTCTTCTTCTGCCATCCTTATTCATTATCTAACTTTCAGATGCACAGGAAGCAATTCTAAACACCATGATTTGGAACAGAAACACTTTAATCTTTAGCCTGATATTCTTGCTCTTTAATACTTTGGCAAAGCCCTTGACAGTAGATTTTCCCAATGTATTATCAATCAAAATAATTTTCCATTGTAACTCTTTTTAAGAGGGAGATGTGGTGGAGTAATCTGTAAGGAGTTGTGTTATTAATCCAAAGGTGGTGCCTCCTGGCAGTTCAAATCCACCAGTGACTCTGTGAGAAAAAGATTGGCATTTTATGAATTCCCCAAAATCTGAAGGTCAGCTATGAGTCAGTTTTGACACAACCACAATGAGTTTGAGGTTGTTTGCATTTATTATTTATAAGCATATTAAAGAGTATTACAGCAAAATTCCATGACTCATGTGTCTGTCTGTTGTACTGTGGTGGCTTACATGCTCTGCTTTGCTGTAAACTAAGCCACCAGTATTCTGAATACCAGCAAGGTCATCCCGGCTGGAAAAGTTTCAGGAGAGCTTCTAGATTAAGATAAATTAGGAAGAAGGGAACAGACTATCTTAAAGCTGAAGCCGAAAAAAACAAGTCTATGCAAGTAAAAAGACAACTTTGGGTATATTCCACCTAAATTTAGAGACCATCTCAATAGCAGATCATAAGACCAAAGACTAGATGAACTATAGGATGACATCATGAACATCATACATATATAAAGCAAAGGTCATTAAAAAGACAAAAATGCATGTCAGAAGATACAAACTTGTTCTTACACATGAGTTGTTCGACATGCCGTCAAGCTGACTGTGATTCATAGTGACCCTATGAAAAATTAATCTGAAACTCACTTTACCCTGTAACATCCTCACTGTCTCTATGCTCGAACCCACTATTACCACATCAATCCATCTTGTTGAAGGTCTTCCTCTCCTATGCTGACCCTCCACATTTCCAAGTACCATGTCCTTCTCTCTCATGACTGGCACCTTCTACCAACATTCCTGAAATATGTAAGGTTCTTCTGACAGTCTGTGGGATAGTCAATATTCTCTTCCAACATCAGAATTCAAAGTTATCAATTCTTCTTTCCTCCTGAGTTAATGTCCAACTTTAAGATAAACAAGAATTTAAAAAAAATGGCCTAGATCAGGAATGTTTTAGTCTTTAAGTTGAAATCTTTGCTTGTTCTGCAGCACTTTGAAGAAGTCCTTGACAACAGATTTTCCAAACACAATAAATATGTAACCTGATCTTGCCGATACCAAATTTTATCACAGATCCAAATAAAACGAATTTGTTAACAATGTCAACCTTTTCTCGATCTGTAGTGATGTTGCCTATTGGCCCAATGGTGAGGACTTTTGTTTTCTTGATGCTGAGATGCAATTTATATTGAAGGTTGCAGTCATTGATCTTCTGCAATAAGTGCTCCAAGTCCTCCTTTTCAGCAAACAAGATTATGCCATCTACATAACACAGGCTGTTGACGAGTCTTCCTTCAAATCTAATGACACATTCTTCTTCATAAAATCCATCTTCTTGAATGATTTACTCAGTATACAGACTGTACAGGTATGTAGGTATGGAAAAAGGATTCAGTCCTGACACACACCTTTCTAAGCCAACAGCTTGGCTAAATTAACAACCCCCCCCCCAACAACAACTGGCATTCTAAAGGCTAAAGAACTGAAGATAATAATCCAGTCTTGAATTGAAATACTGAAGGATTCTATGGACAAAATGTCAAACTATATAGGAAGCATGAAAAGAGGATGTACATTACTTTCTATCACATGAATGAACCACAATTTCTCAATCTAGTCAGTTGTTGTTGAACATTTGAGCTGTTTCCATGTTCTTGCAATAGTGTCTAATGCTGCTATGAAAACTGGGGTACAAATCTCAGTTTATTTTCAGTTCTAAATTCCTTGGGGTATATTCCTAGTAGTGGAATAGCTGGGTCCTATGGAGCACTCAGGAGCAACAATTCTAAAAAATATTACACAACTTGGAAGAGACTAGAGAATATTAGGCTGAGTGAACTAAGTCACTCTCATAAGGTCAAATATTACATAAGGCCATTATTGAAAAAGTAACTCATAAAACATGTGTGGGGTCCCAAAGGTGGAAGGGGTGGGAGCAGAAAGGTGAGGATGGGTAGTGGGGAATTTATTAGGTCATACATATGGTGGGTGGAGGGAGGGGATAAAGGAAATAGGAAAGGTCCTGTGGGAACCTGAAAAGACAAGGTAATGCTGGACATAGTTCAATGGTGATTAATTTTATAAAACACAATGCATGGGAATTATGTATAAAACATGTCAATGAAGGAAAAGAGCGGGGGAAAAAATATCTGCATTAAAGAAAAGAATAATAAACACACCCCCCCCGGCAAAAAAAGAGATGGATGGAATACAGAGTAACTATGTCAAAAGGATTTGATGTTCAACCATTTCTGGAGGTAGTATGATCAAGAATTGATGGTACTGTAGAAAAAAGTAAAAGCTGCAGTAAAGACTGGGAATCTGCAGCATATTAAACGGGATATTAAACAAATGGACAGATTGCTAGAAGATCTCATCTATCCCAAGAAAAGAGATACCATATATGTACCAATTTCAAAGATCTGTGTGTGATCCAACAAAATGTGGAAATTGTTGGATATTATCAATTCTGCACGCAAGTAAAATACTGCTGAAGATAAAAAGGATATACTGAGCAAGTGTGGAATAACAAGGAACCAAGAAAAATTCAAGCTAGAGTTAGAAAAGGAGATGGATGTTACTGCTGATATCAGGTGACTCTTGGATGAAATTGGAGAATAAGAGAAAAAATAAAGTATGTAGTGGCATCCAACTGTGATGATTCTAATGTAACATTATAAAGAAGAAATCTACATTGTGTCTTTTGCAGAACACGTACATAGCTGAAAGGTAGCCATTCAGAGAGAATATTGGTAATTCTGTGTGGTTTAAAGTCAGGAAAGATGCATATCAGGACTGTATATCCTTCCACATACTTGTTAAATCTATATGCTAAGCAAAAATACAAGAAGCTGCACAACAGGAAGTAAAACAGCATTAGAACTGAAGACTGATTTGTAAGTATGAAAATAACAAAACCATAAGTGTTGAAAGTGAAGAGGACTTGAAGTATTTCAGTTTCTGAGGAAGATCAGTATGAACTATATCAACATAAAGAGAACAAAAAATCCTCACAATAATTAACACTATAAAATATATATAAAAAATGATGTTGCCAAGGATTTCATTTTACCAGGACCCATCCGAATCAACAACCATGAAAGCAGCAGCCAAGAAATCAAATGTGGTATATTCGCACAATGGAATACTATGCTGCATTAAAAAATAAGGAACTCATGCAATATTATTCAAAATGGTTG